CGGAAGAAAGGAATACGGGCTTACCGGAATATTTGCTCCCCGTACAATTGGCGCCGTTTGTGGGAAGCTTGACAGACAAAACCTTGTCTTCCAGGTTTGTCTGATCGCCGACCATGGCAAACAACGACGAGTTTCCGTTGTCCGCCATCGACGGAGCCACCCTGGAGTATACCCGAAAGAGAGAGGGACCTCCTACTGTCCACCCAATGGCTGACTTGGGAACGCCCACTGGCGGACAGTCGGGAGCCGCGCGGGATAAGCGCGGAAGAAGTCATGGTCATTCACGGAGTCCAGACGGTCACCGGCGGAGGAGAGACTCGCACGCCAGGCGACTGGAAAACAAGTTAAGGGACCAAGACGCTGTCATCAGGCGGATGGCGGCGGAGATGGAGGATCTTAAGCGGCATGTCAAAGGGAAAGGTGTAGCTGGAGTGGGAGACCACAGTGAGCGCACCCCATCCCGCCGGTCAGGCGATCAGAGTCAGCGACGTACTCAGTCCATTTCCATTACCAGAAGTTACCAGGTTGGTGATTCCGACGTGCATGCAGAAAAGTCTAGCGCGCAAGACAGCACCTACAAACCCTCACGTCCGGCGACGACGTCGAGGTACTCATACTCCGCTCAGTGAGAGGATTTACGGGCAGTCTTAAAGGAGCGGGCCCGCCGGCGCGAAGCATAGAGGATATCTGCTTTCCAGCGGTTATCCTATGGGGTTCACGCCAGTGAGAAGGTCGGAATGCCTCCACCCCGCATAGTAGTTCCACTCTTCGAAGATATGGACTTGGCCAGGCTGAGTGCCACTCCTTTTTCCCTGGAAATTGAGACAACACCACTTCCGGCAGGCTTCCACCAACCTAAGTTCACACTCTATGACGGAAAAACCGACCCTTGCTCGCAGGTGATCGGACATCGACGGAGCTCGGAAGAAAGGAATACGGGCTTGCCGGAATATTTGCTCCCCGTACAATAAGAATTTTAAAAATTCAAATAAAAACTTGTTTGGTAAAATTTTTGATTTATAAATCAGTGGCCTCAGTTTATAAATTTGGCCAAAAAATGAAAACACAAAAAATGTGTTTCCATTTTGAGTTTTCAATTTATTTTTATTTTTTTACCATCAAACACTATCCACCATCCGCTACAATTTTCCACCACCGTCTTCCGCGACCACCACCCACTACCACTTGCCACCACCACTCACCACCCACCTGCTACCACCACCCGCCACCACCACCCACCACTCACCACCTACCATCCACCCATCACCAACTACCACCACCTTAAATAATTTAAATTAAAAAAAAAACTAAAGATCGGATAATTTTTTGTGTTTAGCTTTGTATGATCGAATATAAATCAGTCCATCCCAATCATAATATGTTATTTTAAATTTTGAACTCGGTTTAGGTTTTTATATTAAGCTATTAATCTTTGGCCTATTTTGACAATTGGATTATAAATCAGTTTTTTGACTTTTTTTTAATCACATGATTTCTTTATTTTTTACACGTTTTTTAAAAAAATTAAAATATAAACTTTTAACTTATTTTCTAAAATAACTTAAAATTAATAGGTTAATAAATAATTTAATTATCATAAAAAGTTAAAGTCGCTTAGTCAACTCAAAGTCTAAACTTTTTAATATTTTTACTATATATTTTACAGTAATGATAAAGACTCCTACAAAACACAACCCCCACAACTTCTAAAATGATCTAAATCATTCATGTCACTATCAACTACAACTCTCAAAAAAAATTTAAATAGATCAATGATCAATACATTAGTAGGGGTCATGGGGATCCTCTTTTGTGGGGGTCACAAACATTTTCCTCTTATTTATTATCTGCAACTACTATGTCATGTTTGATTGAAGGCGGCAAGATCAGATATATTGAAGAACATGCTAGACTCAGATGGATGCAAAGCTCCACCAAATGACACCATAACTCTCCCTGAACTCAACTACGAAGAATTAGAATCACTCCTAGAATTCCTCTACAGCGGAACCTTACCTAAAGAGAAAGTAGATAAACATGTCTACTCACTCTCAGTAGCAGCTGACAAGTATGACATACCATTCCTGCAAAAATTCTGTGAGCACCGAATGCTCGGATCGTTGGACTCTTCGAACGCACTCGATATTTTAGAGATCTCAGATGTTTGTTCTAACCATAGTTTGAAAGAGACTGCATTGAACTTCATTGTGAAGAACATGGAGGATGTGGTTTTCTCAGCTAGGTTTGATGCTTTTGCACTCAAGAATCCACATTTGACCGTACATATTACAAGAGCTTCTTTTATGGATATTAAAAATAGGGTTTGAGAATGGGAGAGAGAGATGTAAAGAGTTATGGAATAGTTTCATATGAATAGATCAATTAAATTTGTATCTTGTATTGTTTTAAGGGTTAATTATATTTTTATTATCCAAAGTATTTTGTTTGTGTCATTTTTGTTTCTAATGTTTAAATTGTGTCGATTGAGCCCTTAACGTATAAAAAATGTTTTAATTTGGTCTTCCAATCTAATCCCATCTGTAGACACCATTAAAGTCATGGATAAATATATAATTTTGAATATTAAAATGATACAAATCATACATTTTGATAACTAAAAGTGTATATACATCAAGTGAGTTTTCTCCTTAATAAAATAGATCATGTATTTTGGAACTAAAAATATAACTCTTTGAATGAATTTTTACATGTATTTATGCCTTCAATGGTATCTACTAACAAAGTCAGGTTAAGGGATCAAATTAAATTTTTTTTATATATTGAAA